TCAAATGATTCAGAAAAAATTAGGTATGTGTAAGTGTATATCTACTATGTGTAGTATAACCATAACACAGAGAATAAAGTATACTATGCACACATACGTACAGAATTACAAATAAATGGGCAAAATATAATTGGTGAATCTGAATAAAGGCACGATACGCAACTTTTTTATAAATTTGAATTTACTTTAAGATAAAATTTACACAAATATTAATGGCCCAAAATTGCACGGTGCCTACTCTGTGACACTGTTCAAAAGACATTGTTGTATTAACTCGTTGATCCTTACAACAGTTCTACAAAGTGTGTGTCTCTAGCTCCCATGCAGTCATCTTCATTTTATCCACAGGGAACTGAGGCACAAAGCAGCTAAGCAACTTGCCCAACTCCCCTCCCCCCTCACCCCCCACCCCGCCCTGCCACCTGGAAATATGGCAGAGCTGCCATCTGAGCCCAGGTCCATCTGTCCAGCTGCAGTCTGTGCTCGTGGCTATCCAGGTGCGGGGCGGCCTCAGCGGGATGCAGGCAGAGGACAGGCACACCCGACCTGCTGGTGCTCGCACACAGCCAGGCTGCCTGGGGCAGAATAGCTGCAGCCTGAGATCAATTACCCTTCAGAGCTGAATGTGGGAAAGAACGTGGGAAAGAGCCTTTGAGAAAGTAGAAGGAAGTTCCCAGTTCAGTGCCTTTGGGCTGGGGTCCTGGACAGGGTCCCCACCCCTGAGGTTTCCGGAACCTCTGGCCGACTCCTATCTGCCTGCCCATTCCCTTCCCTAGAGTTCCGAGCTCTTTCTCTTCCTCCTCCTGCCCCTAGGCCCACAAACTAGAAAGAAGGGGTTTCTGGCCATGGCCTTGTTATGAACAGTGATTGGAGTCAGTGGAGAGGTGGACCCAGAGAGAGCCACTACTCAAAAGTCAGAACTGAAAGAGGCTTCCGGAAGAGATGGAGGAGAGAGGAGACACAAGACCCGTCATGAAGGGCTGAGTGATAAGTAGAGGGTGTGCCGGCCCCCGCCAATGGCACCGCACTGCAAGAGCAGGCATGGCAGGAGGGGAGGGGGCGTCCTCAGCGCAGAGAGGCCTGGCGGAGGCCCGCCCACCGTCACTGAGAAGGCCAAGCCTGAAGTTGCAGCCTCCCAGCAGAGGTGAGTGTCAGGGAGGAGGACAGGTGCTCCGGCCTGTTCAGTCTGTCAGGGCAAGGGGGGAAGATACTGACGTCTGAACTCAGAAGTGGAGCGAACCCTCACCAGCCCCTCCCTGCTGAAGAGCCTGTCACAAGGCGACTGTGGCTCACACCTGCTTATCAGGGCTGGGGTGTGGAGAGGGTGTCACGGACAGGAGATAGGGCTGGGACAGGGCTGTCCGCACTGGCCTGATCTGCCTCCCTCATTCGCACCTCCTCAGAGGCCCCTCAGCCCACTTATCCCCTGCGGCCTCCAGACTGCCCTGCATGCCTCCTCAGCAAGCTCCCCTGCAGGCTGTCCTTCTTTGAAGGAGTGCTCTGCCCTGGACAAACACCAGTCAGGGCGGGACCTTGGAGACTGTCCAGCCCAACCCTTAGGGAAACCGAGGAGCAAAGCGATGCCTAAGATCCCATTGCAAGCGTTTATGGAGCCAGAACTAGGCCACAGAGCACTGAGGGTCTGAGCCTCAGCCTATGGACCACGGAGGGCAGGGGCAAGGGGGTGGGGCATAGCTATCGCTGAGGAGTGCCCGTCTGTTCAAGTTTCAGCCTCACAGAGGGAGAGAAGGCACAAATGCAGCACATCATCCTGGGCTCTACTGACCTTGGGTAAGGGCCAAGGTCTCTGCCTGTGTCTGACTGCACTAGGCGGCGAGGGGCAAAGGCTCTCTCAGAAATGGTCGGCAGGGAGGAGTGGAGAGGTGAGAGGGGGCACAGCGCACTAAAGGGGAGAAGTCAGGAGCCCACCACAGGTCCTACGTGGGGGCTAGGAAAGAGCCAGTTGGGCCTCAGCTATGTGAGGCCTTGGAGGTGCTGGGGGACTACAAACTCAAGGCCACGGCCCCCACGCCCCCTGTGCCGGAGGACGCATGAGAGGGAGGACCCCTGGCTTCACCAGAGGCGGGATGGTTCTGGTGCCTGCAGAGGAACTGGGGCTGGGGGCGGGAGAGAACAAAAATAATCCCAAGATCCTGGTTGGGGGTAGGGGAGAAGGCGGGGTTCCACACCTGCACACAGCTGGAAGACCCAATTTTAGCTCTGCTTCCCCCAGGACTAAACACACAAAAGCCCTGGCCCCTCCCAGCACACCCTGACTGCCGCCTTCCTGCTCCATCTTCCCAACAGGGCAGGCAGCCTCAGTCCAGAGACCTGTCCCTGTGGAGCCTGGTGATGGGAGCCCTGGGGGCTCCAGTCTGCTGAAAGCAATGCTCAGCCTCCCAGGGCATCGAGTCTCGGACCCTCAGCTCCACTCTACTAGCGCCGGCTGCCCACAAGCTATGGCCCCAGTGGAGATTTCCCCAGGGAGGCATGTGCCTTCCTGCCTCCTCTGAGAAGACTTCCCCAAAGTCATTCTCACCCAGTCCTCAGTTGGCATAACTGGGCCTGCACAGGGGCTGACCCAGCAGCCAGGACTAGTCCCCACCCTTCCTGGGTCCCTCACATCGACAAAGAGCACATTTGGATAAACAGAGTAAGTGCTCTTCTCTGACGTGGCTAGCCCCAAATCATATCTAGAGACCTACTATTCACAGAACCCTCTGGAGGTCTCAAAAAGTCAACTCCAATATTTACCTGTCTCCAGGAAGTTAGCAGTGTCTTATAGGGCTAAGGTGAGTATATGCATGAAAACCTGAATTACAAGCAAATTAATAAAACCACAACCACCTTGGGAAATGAAGGGCAAACGGTTTGGGAGCTGGAAAGCCTCTACAAATGACAAATTCCTGTAGGAGTTTGTGAAATGGGGTGCATAGCAGCTATTCGAGTGGGAGAGAGGGTGAGCTCTGATGTGAAAGCTGCAAAGCACTGACCTGGTTGAATTTGGTTGTTAGCAACACTTTAGAGTCACAGGACTGGGGACAGACTGCTCAGAGCTGGCACTATACTAAGGCCAGGCTCTTCCTCAACTTCTCAGGACAGGATGACCTTCCTTAGTCACTGCCAAGGCTACAACAACAAAATACCATAAAATGGGTGGCTTTTAAAGCCACTGAAATTTGTTTCTCATAGCTCTGGAGTTTGAGAAGTCCAAGATCAAGGTGCTGGCAGATGTGGTATCTGGTGAGGGCCCATTTTCCGGTTGTCTTTCCAGTGTCCTCACATGATAGAAGGAGCAAAACACTAATCTCACTCACGAGGGTGGAGCTAATCACCTCCCAAAAGACCCACTTTCTAATACCAACACTTAGGAATCATGTTCCAACATACAGATTGGGGGAGGCATATTTTCTATGGTGGTCAGTGGTAACCAAGCCAAGAATTCCGCGACTGACCACCATTTATTGAGAAGTTGCCAAAATGCGTATGTCCTTATTCAATCCTCAGACCACCCCGCAGGTCAGCTTCAACCTGGTCCTGATGAAGGACCTGATTCAGGAGGATGGAGTCCATTACCTAAGGCTGCCCAGCTGGTAGGAGGGAAGATGGGATGGGGACCCAAAGGAGCCTCCCACTGCAGGTGTTCAAAGCTTTGGCCCGGCCAGGTCATGTGGATCCAGATATGCGGTAGGCACTTTCCCTGCACCAGAGTGACTCACAGACAAGTTGTGATAGGGACCTATTACTGCAATTGTGCAAGTAATTTGTCTACGGTGGTGTTTCCTTTTAAAGAAATAGAAGAGAATTGAATGTAGACAATATCAGAGCACACTGCCATCACATAAAACCTGCTGGGTATGTAAAGCAGGCTGCCATGTAAAATGAATTTTTTTTTACCAAAGGGATCTTCCTTAGTGCAGTCTCATTCGTTGTTTTTAACACACACTGAAGGCTTGTTTATCCAAGCTGCAATCTCAGAGCTGGGAGCCAGAGCTAACATGTCAGATGGCCAAATCAGGATCGTCAAGAACGTGAATTCGTGTGAAGATGGGTAGACACTATCCTAACAGTTGGGCATACACATAATGCCACATTTGTCTTCCCAAAACTATGTAAACACTTGATGGGAAACTGATTTGACAATAATCATGTGGGAAAAAACAAACCTAGAGCGGTCAGTTGGATATGTTCCACACGAACCAGAGCTGCAGGGAGGAAGCGGAGTGTCCCCACTCGGTGCGGCACCACTCACACACATTTTGCCTACACCGTGAGGGCATGGAAATCGTGAAGGTGAAGGGTCTGAGTCCCTGAGCACCTGCCCTGTTGTTCACAGGAACTTCACCTCACTGAAGGGCTGCCGGGAAAGAGCCGGTGCCAGCCAGTTCTGTGTAGCCTTGAGCGGCCATTAGGGTCTGTCACTGATGGGCAGCAATGCCAAGGAAGGATTCAGTTAAAGAAGGAATTGGACACCTGGGAGCCCAAAGGGTGCGAAAAAGTTCTCCCATGGTATGAATGAGCTCAAGGGGCACCTACCTGCCGGGACCCCTGTCCAGGGAATGTGAGTTGAGGGAGGGTGGGGAGCAGAGCACAGTCTGGTTCCAAATCATGGGTGGTCATTAGACTTGCCAGTGTTTCTTGTTTAAAATATTTTTTTTTTTACTTTTACCTGATAAACTGTTTCAAATTGAGAGACTAGACATAATTATAAAATACAACATATGAGCCTTAACTGAAACCTGCAACTTTAAAAAAGCATGAAAGACGGGCCTCCCTGGAGGTGCAAGTGGTTAAGCACAGCACTACGAAGCTATCCCCAGCCCGCCAAGGAGCAACCCACATGGCAAAGCAGACCTCTCCTGTCTTGCCCGCTGCTCCCCTCAGCAGTGTGTTTCAGTCAGTCTGCCTGTTCTGTTCCCCAATCTGTCTCTGGTGAATCCTCTCATCCCGCACACCTCTGGCCTGTACCCCAGTTCTTGTATGCATAAATAAATAAATCTTTTCAACTTTTAATAGATTGTTTATTAGATGTTATTGAATTCATCATAAATTTGTTAGACATGATCAAAGTATTTTGGAAATACATCTTTATTCTTAGTGTTAAAAGTTATTAAAAATGAAGTGTCGTATCTACAACTTCCTTTTTAAAACAATCACTGTTAAAAGGCTCAAGAAGAGAGAGCAAACAGAAAAGAGAAGCATTCACTGTCCTCTTCTTCCAGCTTTCCTGTAGGTTTAAAATTTCTCAAAATAAAACTGGAGGGGGCAGAATCAGGCTACCGAGACTATTGTGAGATGAAACAAACATGAGGCCCACTGGGCAGAGCCTCTGTTCCAACCTGCCTGCGTGACAGCGCCTGGCGGCTGAGGCCGATTGCATCTTTCATGGCTTAGAGCTGGAGGACGAGGCAGTGCCGCAGCTGAGACGTTGAGTTGCAATGCGACATTAGGACGCAATGACCCCGAGAGGTCCTGTGCACTCAGGGGCCATACTAGCATGCTCTGGAACACGAGAAGCCCGTACGGGACCACTACTCCCTGCCCCAAATCACACAGGGTCCAGATCATCCTGCTTGGCCTTTGCACAATATTGTGAAATTCTCAATCCAGAAACCAAAGAACCTGGAATCTCAGAATAAAGATGTCACGGGGGCAGAGGGAGGCAGAGGAGGATTAGGGAGTAAGCCCCCTTCAACCACACAAGGGCCTCCAACGGCAGAGCCCACCCAGACTGGCCGCTCTTCCACAGCCTGCTGTCCTTGGGCCAAAGGCTCCCTGAGTGTAAACAGAGCACAAGGGTCAGCCCGAGAATTCCGCTTCAGAGCTCACCAGAGCTTGGAGGACCAGCCGAATGGCAACTGCTCAGGTTCGGTGACCAAGTGCTTCTTGTTCAGGTCATACCTGATGCTGGGAGAGGCCTAGGGACCTGTTGCATCCAGGTCTGCATTGTCAGCAGTCCTACTGCAGGAAGCTGAAGCTATCTGATCCAGAGGAAAATTCTAAATTCTCCCCAAGTTTTCCATTTTAAAGTCTGAACTGGAGGGACTCAATGGCAGTGATGAGACAGCTCAAGCATCACTACTGTAAACCAATGCTTTTAGAAAGAAAAACAAGGATTTTTTTTTTTTTAGGCTGCATTTTTTTTCAATCACAAGCAGTTATCTTTTTTTTTTTTTTTCCAAATGAACAAACAGTACTCTTAAGAGGAGTAAAACCTAAGACACTTTGGTTTACTGATCTAAAAATCAAGATTCTCAACCATCCAGGCGGAGGCAGGAGTGAAAAGAGCAGTAGTAACTCCAGTCGCTGGAACTGTGGGGAGGGAGCATGGCCGACCTCTGGAGGTGGGCTTCTCCCACCGAGCTGCCTCCTCAGGCTTCTAGAGAAACACCCAGGTCCCAACGTTACCTCTCCAACAAGGAGAGAGAAAAATGGATTTTTTGGTCACAGTGACATTTTGGCTCTATCCCCAAGCAAAGAAGGACTGGCACAAGCTAATGAGAACAGAGTGATGAAACAGAACGGCATTAATCAGGCTACTATGTTCTAATCCGACTTTTTTCTTTTTACCCAAATAAAAACGTAGAAAAAGGTCAATCATCATCATCTTGCCTTTATCTTAAAGCCCTGGCATTTTTGCTAGCGGCAACGCAAAACCACCACCAAATTGTCCTCGTAGCAGTACTTGGAAAGCCAGCAGGGACATGACACATTCTTCACGTCACTATTTTAAGATACTTTACTGCCTATACCATGAGTGCCCATGAAAGGATTCCACGTCATCCAAATGTAGAGATCAGGTCAGGAACATTAGCCCCCGTGTCCCCCAGAAATAACTGCGTTTGGCTCTCAGGCCCACAGCACAACCAGCCGATGCCAGCCAGGGGGACAAGCAGCACAGGCAAGCATGTCAGGAGCCAGAGGCCCTTTTCAGGTTCCTTAATCTTTGGAATAAAAAGTTCACCTGGAAACAAGAAATACATCAATTTAGCAGCCTCTAGTCACTCAAAGAAGTGCATCTCTGGAGGCAAGTGGGGGCTCTGGTAAACCCTCCACAGACTAGACTCACAGGCCTCTAATTTTCAGATGCCTGTGATGCTTTCTTCCCAAAGAGCTGGGAGGGCCTTAAACTGTCTTGGGCTGACAGCAGACAAGAAACCAGACCTCTTACCAAGCAGGCCTCAGGCTCAAAGATCTACACCCTTGCAGGTACATATTTCTGAGAACACTCTGTGCAAGGAAGATTTGAATCTACTTTCTGTTTTTTTTTTTTCCCCCCCTCTCAGCCCTGGGTGCTCTCTTTGGAGAGATGACTCTCAGGCAGAAAGCTTACACTTGCTAAGCCTCATGAGGGAAAAGCCATTTACTTCAGAGGGTCTCTATCAGACAATACATGCAAAGCGCTGAGCTTTGTGTAGAGAAGACACCAAGTGAGCAGCAGACGCAGCACTGACCGCTTCTGTGTGACAGGAGCAGGGAACAGCAGGCCCGCGAGAGGAACGAGACACAAATACATAATAAATGCAGCAGGAGAATGCAGAGGATTTCTAAAAGCTATCTCTAAGACCAACTCAGGACCTAGGGACAAATACATAGTTGGGTTCCAAAAGGCTGAGCAGATACAGCAAAGACTACAATTTGGAAGCATAAAAATAAAAGGCCGTATCATCTACCCAAGGAGCACAGACACAGTGTCATCTCAAGGACACAGTATTGTTGTTAACACCACACGAGATCTGCATGTGTTAACAGTTTCCTTAGGAATTAGTTCCCATATTAAGTAAAATACTGACCCCAAAACTTTAGACCTTTCATCTTTGAGGGAGAAACTGAGTCTTAAATTTAGGATTCCATCATTTCTTTAAAGCAAAGCAACTAAAGCACATCAGAGGAGCGGCCTGTTCACTGCAGATGGCATCACACACCTTCTGTGATTGAAACTAAGATGGCTTCCCCTCCAGGGCTCCTCACTGCTCCTTCGCTTTGAGTTCTTCCAGTTTCTTCTCATAGCGACTCATGAAGTAATCATCGGGTTCAATGCCTGCATTCTTCAAATTTTCCATGATCTTTTCCAGTCTGAGTACTGATCGTGCACCTTCAATTTTTCTCGTGCTCAGGTACAGAGTGAACTCCCGGAAATCCAGGAGCTTACAGGTGTCCACAGAGCAGATATTCCTGATATCACTAGTTCTATCCAAATTAGGGAAAAACACCAGTCCTGATAACTTCTCCAGGTCCTGCAGGCTCACTTGGAATTCACTTAACTGGGGTTGGAAGCCAATGGCCTCATTGGGCACCACAAAAGCCCCTAGAGCCAGTGGTTCCTTAGACTCTGGGCTTCTTCGAGCCAAGATCACCTTATAAAGGTGCGAGGGGACAGCCACATTGTCCTCACCAATTACCTAAAAAAACAAAGCAGCCATATTAGCAATGCTAATCTGTGCTACAAGTGAAAACTTCATATGCACTCTGAGAATGCATTTACAAGCTCCCCCACCCCACGCCAATGAATTTTATTTTTTTATATTTCTTCCTTTTTATTTATTTCTTTAAATTTATTTTTTATATCAGTGTTCATTTTTAAACAATATTTGCTTCCCCCCACCCCCTCAGGTGTAGTCCCCATAGAGTTTCCTTCCCCAAGGCACCCGTGCACCATCACCTCAGTCCCCTGTGCTCCTCCCTCCCTCCCTCTGCTCCCTCTACCAATGAATTTAAATTCAACTACCAACAACAATAATAAACCAAAATACAGACTTACAGAGAATATAGCATTTAATGGACAGACTGATCACAAAACAATGTCACCCCTAAAGAGCAGGGGTTGCATTCTCAGGCTTGCTCGGTGCTGCTCTATTTGCAGGACAAAGCATAAAGGAAAGCCAAAAAGCAAAGTTGTTTTTTGGTCATCTCATAATCAGAGCTTCCAGTGCGCTAAACATTCAAAAGTCAAGATTGCCAGCTTGGGAATTCCCAGGTCCAGAAATAAAAGCATGGCCTCAGTTTATCAAATATACTAGGGAGTTTTACAAATAACCTTAGAGGACAGCCAGACACACCACATCAGTATTACTATTTCCAGTATCACCTAGACTGTGGTTCATTTTTTAAAATTAAATTAAGTAAATGTAAATACTGTTAGCTCAGAGTTTTGCACACCCTTAGGACTGCTATTAAACACAGAACTTCTGAGTGTGTCATCAAATCAAATCAAACATTTTGGAAAGGTATCCACACAATGAAGAAGTCAGAGCAAGACTCACGCCTGAAAACAATTTGGTTGCCTGTGTAGGTTGGCTGTAATAATGAAATAACATTAATCTGAAACCTTTTCAAATTTCCTTTCAATTGGCTTAAAAGCCATATCTGCTTTCTAAAAAAGAAAAACTGAACATCCATTTCCTTAATGGTCTCCAGTAAAATGACACAACTCAAATACAATCTACTCCCAGTACTACTGCTCCTCCAGGTCCTCTGTGCAAGAGCAGGCACTCCTTCCTGAGCAAACATACCTGCTTCAGGGGGCCTGCTGGGAGCCTGGATAAGGCAGAGGAATGAAAGCTACAGAGAATTCTGCTTTTCCCAAGCTACCTACATGGCGCACAGCCTAAGAACTCCACAGCCATCTGCTGTCTGGCACACACAGAGGACCCACTATCACGACCAACTGTGGGGTTGCAGGAAAAGACCCAAACATAGGAAAGATTTCTGTAACTATCTTTGAAGTTAATGAAAGTGACAGATCACAGTGCGGTTTAAAGTTTATGAAACAACACAATCTATAGACATAACATCCCCACATGCTCCCTCCAACAAGTCATCTGTGTGACTGGGAAAATAAACACTCTCCAAAGCAAGAAATATGCTGAAGATTAACTCTAAGGCAGTCACATTAGCCCACAGATCACCAACAGATGCAATTCAACAATGCAACTCAGAGGTCCTGTACCTGGATCTTCTGAAAATACAGAAAGGAGTAAGTTTGACATAAATCCAACTGGTATCTCCTCTCTAGAAGTTTCCCATCTAGAGGAGTCAACAACCACAGCTTTCACTGCAGGAAGAATGTGATGAGACATAAGTGGGAGCAAACAACAGTGCTAAGGGGAAAGAGGTGCAGGAAAAGTCAGGGACCACCACTGAGGGCACAGCCACAGATGAGCCACAGTTTATAAGGAAAGAAGCTTAAATGAGCTTCAAAAGTGTTTCAAGCCTAAGCTGGGCAGCCAACAGTTAAGCAAATTCTTGGTACCACCTGGTGGACATCCTCATAACTGCAGCAGAGTTCTCAGGCTGCACCAACAAGGAGCCTCCAAGACCCCTGGATTATTTTCTCTCCTCATGGAATCCTTGTCTACAAACAACTGGCAATTTTCAAAAGTAATTAACTGGTCATACCCATGTGCTGCTAACCAGGACTTCTAATCAGGCTAATTAAATTCTAGCGAAAAGTAAAGAAGTCTGACATTTTAAGATTCGTGGCTTTACGTCACAGAAATGGACCGTTTCCATTAGGTTTCAAAAATCCTCATGATAGCGAAAGACCTCATTACTGCTTTTGAGAAACTTCATGGACACAAAGATTCCTGCTAAGAACCACAAGGTATGACTGTTTCACTCCTGGCCATCTCACAATATTTCAATAAAAGAGTAAAACACTGACCTTAGAAACAGAAAAATAAAAATTTTGCTAGTCACTGTCTTCAATGGTTCAGTTTGCTTTGTTCTTGGGCAGTAAACACCTTTAATCTATCTAAAATAGGGACCAGTTTTATTTGGAAATTCAGAAAAACCATTGTTTTTTCCTTTTAGATTTTAAAGAAAAAACCCTAAAATATTTTGGAGCTATCTTCTTTGTAGACAACACACCCAACATAATGTTTTTGTAAGTTTTGAGAAAACTAGAAGGCTATCAGAAAAAGTTTTAGAAACTAATAGGGTACTGAAGCAGTAAGGTTCAGTGGTTGGAACCCCAGAATCCTGGTCAAGTCCTGGCTTTGCAACTAAGCTGCAAGCTAGGTCCATATTTCTTCATTCATTAACTCGGTAAAAGCAACCCCTTTGCTGCCGATCTCAGAACAGTCATGCAGTCACAACGACATTGTAATCTTTATAAGACCTTAGAGAAAAGGTATTTTTTGTTGTGCAAGCATTCAAAAGATAGGGATACAATGGTATTTGGTTAAAAAAAAAAAGAGCTACAGGGGACATCGGGAAAACATGGGATTAAGCAAAATCATAAAAGTTAAGTGACTCGGTGGCTTAACGTGAACCACATCTTAAACATCAGTAAATCAGCCAACAACACTTTTCACTGGAATTTAGGTATAAAAATACAAAGGAAATCCTCACTGGGCCTCCCCGGTGGCGCAGTGGTTGAGCGCTGGGTTGCGAAGCTGCCCGCAGCCTCTGTGGCGCCGGTTTGATCCCCAGCTGCTCCCCAGCCACCAGAGGAGGGTCCCACATGGCGCGCAGACCTCTCCTGCCGCCCGCCGCTCCCCTCAGCAGTGTGCTTCGGTCCTTCTGCCTGTTCTGCTCCCCGCTCTGGCTCTGGTGAATTCTCTCACCCTCCCGCGCTTCTGACTGTACCCAGTGCTTGTATAAACAAAACAAACAAACAAATAATAAAAAAAAAAAAAAAAAAAAAAAACATGCCAAAGGAAATCCTTACTGCCATTAAATTACCAAAAAGCACTGAATTTTTGTCAAGATTATAAAAGTGGAAAGCAACTGGGAATGCCTAGAAAATGTAATATATACATCTGCCATAAAGCTGTTCTCACAAGCAACCTGAGCTACTTTCTGCACATGCTGGTTGAGCTTGTTTTCTTCCATCCAAAAGACAGAATGACAATTTGCTCCCTCCCACCTCCTGCCAACACTACAGAGCTGGGCCTTCATGCTGATTCAGTGCCAGAAGAGAATGGCAACAAACAATAGCCAGGCTAAGCCATTTGTCACGTCATACACAACAACTGTGTTAGGTAAAATATTAAGCTGCATCATGAGGGGAAAATATAAACCTGTTAGAACCAGATGTATATAAGATACTTGGTTAGATTCCCCTGGTAAGACAAATTCTAAAAATATAACTGTTGAACATATGAAGAGACCAATCCCTCAGAAAGCATGCCAATCAAATGAAAGAAAGAAAATATGGTCCTGTGATAAATAGGGAATCCACACCTGAGAGGACAGAGGGACAAGCAAAGTGAGGGTGTGGAGAAGTCAGCAGCAATGCAGCCAGCCCCGGTGTTATTTATAAAGTGCCTGCGGGTGCTCGAGCAGCAGTGCAAACCCTAGAGATGGCACCTCACGGACCCAGCTCATGCTCTGGGCCAGTGTGGGGGCCCATCACGTCACAGGAAAACAAGCACCTTCTTCCCAGACTGCCGCTTCTACTTGGAGATTCAGGGTGTGGTTAAATAGAACTTAGCCAGTAAAGTAACTTATTTTTCAATTAAAGCAGATATGGAAATGAAAAATAAAGCTCTGCCTAAGACAAAGCAGATTTCAAAAATAACTCCCTGATCAGGTCAGGAGATGCCACAAGACCCCTGGAAGTATGTCTTCCCTTCCCCCTCCGCCGCCCCCCTAGAAGTTTGTGAAGGTTTGGAAAGCAATGCTGTCGAAGGAAAACACAAACTGTTAATGCTTCTAACATTACCACCACCAAGTTGTAAAATCTGAAGCTCACTTTCTTGCCAGGTCAATTATAATGTTCAGGTCAGAATCTTCAGGTATTTTTCACTTGTCTGGAATCAATCTCTTCTTGAAACAGGCACATCAGAGAAAGCACATGGATGACCTTAGCTATAATAAAGGGGGTGATTCTGATTAGAGCTGTCAGATGACTCACTTCTGATGAAATCACTGCTACTTAGCTTCCCTGAGGCTCACATTCACTCGAGTCCTATGATGCTGTGATCCTTTCTTACAGACCCTAACAGACATATCTGCCTGACCATAAGGAATCCTCTTCTTGGCCCATTTTCTGTTCTTATTTTTGCACGTTAGCAAAACACTACTTGTAACTGCTCTTGATCCACACCCTCTTTCACCTTGTGGCCTCAAGCTTCCATATACGAAGCACACAGCCATCGCCTTCATGAAGACTTTAGAGAGCCTCAAAGAATAATGCTGTGAATCACAGGCAATTCTCATAGAAGTCACAGAGACCCAAGTGGACCTCCCCTTTGACAATTATGTGACTTCTATTTGACCACTCAAAACCCCAATTTCCATGCCGATAAAAGGAGATAACCAATGGGCCTCCCCGGTGGTGCAGCGGTTGAGCGCTGGGTTGCAAGGCTGCCCATAGCCTCTGCAGCGCCAGTTTGATCCCTGGCTGCCGGGCAAGGGTCCCACATGGCGCGCAGACCTCTCCTGCCACCCGCTGCTC